TTTCTGTTCAAGTTGGTCGGAAGACTGCAATTTGCTGATGTCGTCATGCAGATGGACTAAATGTTATCTGCATACTGCAAATTAACTGGAATGCACCCCGGTAACGAGTTAGTCCCCAAGTAGACTGAGGTCACATTCACCAGTATATTTTTGATGAAGTTAGATAAATACAGACATTCGCAATTCTCGATGGACACCACTGGCTATCATCACTATCTCACATTTTTCGCTTTTGGGTCAGTTTGAGTAGAGCGTCATGTTAAGTGTGATATACTTTCTCGGCTATCCCTTCAAAACCAGACATAACCACAGTACCTGTCCGATGACAGACTGAAGTCCCGCCCTCAGGTGGCAAAATATGGCAAGTGTTGGATGTCTGTCTGGATTCAACATAGAACTTGGCACCGAAGTGCAGCAGTTCGAGTTGCCACGTTCCAAATAGCACACAAAGGTAGACAAGAAAATGAGCGATGAAGAGAATCAATAGAGTTTTGACAAGTATAAGAGTGAAAGAGAATGAGTAATGGTAAAAAGGAGTATGAAGGTTAAAGAGACTGAATACATCTGCGCCATTGACAACGATTTTGAGCCATGTCACCTATTGTCTCCAGCCAGTGATTCTTAGAGTCCCGAGGGCCCCAACCCGGAAGTCTGCATCTCCCTACCTGACTCAGTTTAACTGTCAAGGATTTCATGGACTGATGCCATGTTTTTGTTTGGCCACCACTTACTCTTTTCCAACCTGAACCTATATCAGCTAGTAATGCCCGTCGGGGGAGACGATGGTTAGGCATGCGCAGCACGTGGCCTAACCATCTCAATCTATGTAACTTCATAGCCTCTTCGAGTGATTTTCCCTCTTTGCCCAACACTCTACGCCTAACGTCAACATTACTTACCTTATTATACCACCTAACGCGAGAAAGAGATCGTAAACATCTGTGGTCAAAAACAGACAATCTCTTCATGTCTTCCGCTCTCAATGGCCACGTCTCACCGCCATAGAGAAGGACGGAGCGAACTGCTGAGCAGTACATACGTCCCTTGGTTGACAGTCGGATGTCACGCCTACGCCAGAGACGGTGTAAGTTAGCGAAAGCAGCCCGAGCTTTTTGGATCCGTGCTGTGATTTCGTCACCAATCAATCCGTTGGTGCTGATACAACTTCTTAAATAGGTGAAGTGGTCAACATGTTCTATCACTTCACTCCCTATCACTAAGCTTGGAGTTGACGTAGTCCAGTCCTGTAGCAGCATCTTACATTTTACAGGGGCGAATCGCATGCCAAACATACGAAGATTGCTGCTCAAGGTGTTCAGAAGACTCTGCATTTTGTCAGCGTCCTCCCCTAACAGGACTATGTCGTAGGCGTATTCTAAGTCTATAAGACTATTCCCTGGTAACAAGTCGATTCCTAAGTCATTAAGTTCAGTTAAGGATACTTCCATTAGCATATCTATGATGAAGTTAAACAGAAAAGGGGAAAGTGGACATCCCTGACGGACACCACTGGTTGTTATCAATTCAGATGACAATTCCCCATAAGCCCTTACACAGCTACGTGAGTTTGAGTAGAGTGCCTTGATTAGTGCAATGTACTTTCTTGGCAATCCCTTCATAGTCAAACATTGCCATAGAACCTCTCGATCCACGGAGTCGAAGGCCGCCTTCAAGTCAAGAAATATGGCAATTGTTGGACGCCTAAAAGTGTGCCTATGTTCTAGGATCTGTCGGAGAGTGAAGATATGATCTATGCACCCTCTACCTGGCCTAAAGCCCGCTTGATTTTCCCTCGTTTGTTCCTCCCTAGTTCGGCTTAGTCTGTTCATGATTACTGAGCCTAGGATTTTAGAGACTATGTTCGTTAGGCTGATTCCTCTATGATTATCACATGAGGACTTATCTCCCTTCTTGAATACTGGTATGATAAGTGACAGTCTGATGGAACCGTCTCTGATTCCCAGACGTTACCTAGTACCTTAGTTAAACTATATACTAGCATGTCACCCCCATATTTAAACACCTCCGGAATAATTCCGTCGGGTCCTGCCGCTTTGCCTCGTTTCAACTTACAGATAGCTTTTGTGACCTCACTTACAGACGGCGGGTCAGTGTCTATGTCCCATTCGGGTGTGTGCTGGATGGCGGGGAGGCTCAGTGTGGCTGTAGGCAAGTTAAACTGTTCCTCGAAGTGTTCTTTCCAGCGTTCGAGCCGTCTATCCTGAGAGCTAATTAAGGAGCCATTTTTCTCAGAAATAGTCTCACTTATGATTTGCCTTCTCCCACCCGTTTCCCTGATGAGTCTAAAGAGTTGCCTATCGCCGATGCTTTTTCCATCTCTTTCGCCTTTGCCAACCACCACTGTTCACGGTCCTTGCGGAGACTTTTCGTAAGTTTTCTTTTGTGCAGCTTTCGCTCCTCATTGGATTCGGAGCTCGCCGGAATAAGTCTTCTAGCATCTATCAGTTCGGATGAGGCAGTCGAAATCCAATGGTTTTTACTCGCCTTTGGATTTACCTTATTCACAGCTTTTACAGCTGTATCTATGGCTGACTGAATATTTTTCTAGGCTTCTTCAGGATGAGCGCAGCTGTCAAACTCAGATATGTGTTTAGCTAGTTCTTCCTTAAATAGGGACTTAGTTTCCTGATCGAGCTGAGGACGTGATGGGTTTAGTTAGTGCTTACAAGAAACAAGTGATTATCTGAGCAGAACTGTAGGAGACGGTCACCGTTGTCGGTTCGCTGGCACGGAATTCCGTATGTGCCACCGACATTCTTCTCAGATTGACACAGTTTCCCCACTTGAGCATTAAAGTCACCAGCTAAAACGACTATATCTGAGCGTTTAGCCTTTCGCAGCAAACTAGACAGCTTTTGGTAGAACTCATCCTTCGTTTCATCCGAACTGCAGTCAGTGGGGGCGTAGGCGGAGATTACGAAAAGGCATCGGCGGGTAGTGCAGTCCTTTCTCATTTTCACTGATCCGTTCAGGCGGACAGCACACATTCGGCTATCTACCGGGATCCAGTCCAGTAATGTATTTTCTACTCTAGTACTTAAAGCTATCCCAACACCAGCTAATCCTCGTGAGCTAGCCGTCGCATCCCCTGACACCCTCAAGGTGAATTTTGCAGATTCATCCTGTTGGCCAGGTGGGGTTAGGTGAATAACCACACTTGGGTCCTGTATGCGTGTTTCTGAAACACAACATACATCAATGACTCGGGATGCCAGAGTCTTGGCTAGTGATGCCTGTTGTCCTATTTGGCAAAGTGTCCTAACATTAAATGCCCCTATATGAAATTGGTGACGTGGCTTTAGGAGACTATCGATGGTGGCTTTTTGGCTTCCATCGTTATCAGTGCACACAAAGTGAAGAGGAAGTGAAGGGCCATTAAGTAGAGGAGTTGCATTAGTAGAAGGAAGGTAAGATAATAGAGATGAAGATGAAGACAAAGGTGAGTGAGGATTAGAGAGGTTTCGCGTGCTCTTCGGGTTGTGAGGGCGATTGTTACTTCCCGGCTGCCCACACCGTGGAAGTTGGTTGCATGACCGCAGAGCCCAGGGGACAACTGCTTGAGGCCGGTCACACACGGCCTGTTTTTGTTTGTTCTTTTTTATCTGGTGTGTCTCAGTAGCGTATTTATCACTTCTGCCCTGTGACACGGCAGCAGAAAGCGCGGTCGTTGTTAATCCGGGCCCCGACCGATCCGGTATGAAATTTTGTGATTTGTTTGAAGTCATAGGATTGGATTGGGTAACTGCTTTTAGTCTAACCGCTATCCAAACAACCTTTCTGGCATGGTAAGACCTGCAGGAACATAAGTTCCAGCCAGTATAGCTTGTTGGGTCATTGCGGTGTTCAAGCCCGACCACCACGTCAAGGTAGCAGCTTTCGGTCGGGCAAGTGTTGGATAGTGGTAAGTGCACCTATGTTCAAAAAAAACATTGAAGAGAGGATATATAATCAATACATACTCGTCTAGGCCTGAAGCTAACGTGATTATCAGGGATTTGTTTCTCATGACCAGCGCTCAGTCTATGTATAATTACTGAACCTAGAATTTTGATACTATATTTGTCAACCTAATCGATTTTTATATACTTAGTTAATCGTTGGTTTCCACACACTACCTATTATCTTACTATTGATTAGTTCATCCCACTCAAGTTTGTTTCGGATGCTGGGCAGATTTATTGTGACTGTATCGCAGTTGGGTTGCGTCTCAAAGTGTTCCCTCTATCGTTCCAGTCGTTTGTCCTGACCTCGTTATGGGAGATCGTTTCGCTTACCATTCGTTTTTCACAACCCATTTCCCCGATGAGTCTAAAGAGTTGTATGGTATTACCGACCGCCGATGCCTTTTCGATCATTTAGAGACACGGGATGAAATACCAACGAAATCTAAAACAACTTTATTGATCTGTCACTAGTAAGTACCTATTGAATTCTTAGTCAGTGACGTCTCTGATTGATGCAGGTGCGAATCCCAAAACACACTGGTTCGTTTTAAAATTAGCTTTTTAACGAAGAACACTGTATACGAAACCTAAGTTTGGGACTTGTCAACCAGTGTCTCCAATCATTCAATATCACTTAAGACAGTGTTGCATTACTGTTACACAAATGGCCAGGATACGTCGTTGTGAATACATACACTGCAACGACCGAACTCAGCATGAATAGTAAGTACTAACTTCAACTGAAAAGTAACATGCACTTATAATAAGGCTAAAATCTCTTGTCTTCATCACGGATGATATCCTTCTGAACACAGTAGAACTCAAGTTCTACTGCATATAAGTTATGAACATCTCAGTGTAAGTGATGATAAGTTGGGCAAAGTAGTATTTAGTCTCTAAGACCGGTTACTCTCGAAGATCACATACCGAGAAAATGTAAATTAGTATACGGCAAATTTAGAACAAGTACATCGTTTTCTCGCACGTTATATTTCTACAGCTGATTTTATATGTGAATACAAATACAAGATACAACTAGCTAGGTGATAAAGAGATGGGTAGAATGCCTTTGCTGTCTGCCATTGTGGAAAGATGAGGATAATTTTCCAATATCCAACTTATTACATTCTGCTGATTTCCACGGTACGCCTAAAATGATAGGAATTATACTGTTAATAAGTGTATATGGATTTCAAAAACAATGGAACACGACATATCATCATACAATACTGAAAATACCTGTGGTTACCTAATTTTAAATACAGTGGATAGAAAGTAAGGAGCTATAGATTTTGGTACAACAATTACGTAAATATGGATGGGATCCATTTTCCTGCTAATTAATTAGATACTTTTCATATTAATACCCCGATTGGTCTGGGTCGTATGCAGTAATCAAGAATTTATAGAATGATATCACATCGGTCTGTTTGATTGATTGTTTTGCATCGGTGAAATAAATGTCATTCGATTGAAGTTAAGAATGACAGTTATGTGTACTCGAACCCTAAGGAGTTGATATTTCAACTCACATTCACTTAATATCTGAAGACAGTGGCATAAGCACTGACTGAAATAAATATAAATCACGAAAAATACCCATTTATTCATAAGTAAAAACACAGGGTTTTTTTGTTCAGCGAAGAAATTTCTTTTCAACGACTTCATTTTCAAGCTGTACAGTCGTATTTATATTACAGAAAAGGTCATTAAGTGGCACTAAATAATTGCTCAGTCAATATACATATATGTGATAAGAATAACGATAATTAAAATGTTATAAGGGGTAGAATTGAAGTGGATAAATTACAAAATTATTAAAGATTGTTTTATAAGTGAATTGAAATCAAAAATGTTTTAAAAATGTCAAGTGTTGTCTAAAAATTTAACTATCGTTATTCTTATCACATATATGTATATTGACTGAGCAATTATTTAGTGCCACTTAATGACCCTTTCTGTAATATAAATACGACTGTACAGCTTGAAAATGAAGTCGTTGAAAAGAAATTTTTTCGCTGAACAAAAAAACCCTGTGTTTTTACTTAGAAATAAATATAGTCAAGCTCAACATAAGCGCATTCAGTTGTTAAGCCAAAAAAGTCCATAGGTTAAATAAAATATGAGAACACCAACAAAATGCCTAATAAGTCCGTTTTAGGTTAAAAAAAAACTAGTAGTAGGTAAACTACGTGAACATATAAACTAACGTGATGCAAACAGTTTCTTCCATCACCATCACCAAGTTCCAAAAGTGCGACCCCACCTTTGTCAACAAGTAACTGTAAGATATTCAATCGGCCAGTGTATGCAGCACGATGTGCAGGTGTAGCCCCATCACTTTTTGTCTTGGCAAAAATATTTGCCCCAGCTGTTATTAACAAATCACAAATATCTTTGTGGTTATTTCTAGCAGCATAGTGCTATAAATGCAGTAGTACGTTCTAACTTACTAGTGCTGTATATCCATATTTATCTAGAATATTAACATCAATGTGTCTTGCCAACAGCTTCTTAATACGCAATATGTCACCACGTACCGCAGCGCTCCATATCCCCCTTTCAAAATCTATTTCGTCCAAGTTTTGAAAAGTTGATTGGTGAAGACATTTGTGTTCAGTACATGAATGCGGATATTCATCCATACTGAGATGTAGACGTTTCTAGCAAATGTTGATGAAAAAAAAAGATCCAAATCCATAAGACAAATTCAATCTATGATTTAGACAATAAGAAGAAGACGTAAACAGCGAAGAAAATTATCTTTTCGACGATTCACTTTCATAAGCTGTACAATCGTAATTATATTTAACAAAAAATTATAAGACCATTCAGATACTGGTAAATTTGTCCTCGAAAAAGGTATCGAATAACGTAAGGTGACTAACTGGAAGTTAGAAAAGAGGCAGAAGTTGGCATTACGTAATAAGTGTGAGGTATTGACTAATCAATAAGATTGTATAGAAAGGACAGGGACTAGTGCAAAGACGATAAAGTGTTTTCATACAAAATCTGCATGATAACGCAATGTTATTAATAAATAGTAATAGAGTGATAATAAAATATGGATGACGGGAATAATAATGACAATAAAACAATAATAATAGTAAACTTACTAAATAGAAAAGAAGCGAAATTATATTAAGAGCTTTACTCTGGCCAGGGTAGGGCTAGTAAATGGATGTAGCGCATTTGAATGCAGAGGTCCGGTTTCAGATCCCGAATATCTAATGGTCCAGCTATGTACAGGTGGTGTATGAGAAATCCCTCTGTACAATATTGAGGGACTCTGTGTAGCGTTCATGTGGGGATGCCCGATGTTCAGAAATGACAAGGTGTTCCACGACAGAACTTCTACTATTCTTCTTTTCTCTTCTGGCTAACCAAGTTAGACAATGTTGCAGAATACGTTTGTGAACTTGATGTTGCGTACGGCCAGTATACTTTGCTCCACACGAGCAAGTAAATTGATAAATACACATTGAGGTGGCCAAAAGCGGTATCTTATCCATAAAGCTAGACTGGATTAACTACCTGCTGGCGAGTGTGATGCGTAAGGTGGCTGCTTGAAATGTCTTCTTCAGACATTTAGAAAGGAGGTTTCTAAGAATTTCTGCTTTGATGTTATCTTTGAATGCCAGATTCATGAAGAGTTTTCTTAGGAACAATTGTGATTTTTGGCGACTGAGGCTATTCTTCCATGTTGTGTCTATGAATCTTGGATGATACCCGTTCATTAGTAGGGTTTCACGTAATGAATTTAATTCCTTCTTTATTGTATCTTCCGAACAGATTTTCCTAATCCCCAAACTTACTGTACGTACCGGGTTTTGCTTTGGGGTCGGTGGGACGAGACTCTAGAAGTTCATAAACTGTCCCATCCATGTTGACTTGCAATATATCGATCTTTGAATAGTACAGTCTTGTCTTCTGGTAAGTAGTACATCGAAAAATGCAAATGCCAAGTTCGATTCACGTTCTAAGGTGACTTTTATCGTACCAGTTCCTGTCTATTCTACACAATTTTATTGATTAGTCATTACCTCACACTTATTACGTTATGCCAACTTCTGCCTCTTTTCTAACTTCCAGTTAGTCATCCCTTCTAGGTTACACATTACGTTATGTAATACCTTTTTCGAGGACAAATTTACCAGTATCTGAATGGTCTTATGATTTTTTGTTAAATATAATTACGATTGTACAGCTCATGAAAAAGAATCGTCGCTGTCTACGTCTTTTCCTTATGACTAAATATGGGAATATTTCGTTCATTGAAGATTCAGATAATGTCAAGACTTATTTCGGGTAGACGTTCCAAGTGAGATTAAGACATGAATGATACACTCACTTTTACGAAGCATTGTAACTACACTCAAAGTCAGAATCCACACAACAGAAAGTTCGATGAAAACGTAAAGTCTCGTCAGTTACCAGATTGGGAGGCCTGTTATTGAGAATACGATACTAGTGCATGAAGCTGGCAGTAAATACAAGGATGACATTTATACATTGGACATCCAGTTTAGTCGTGCAATATAAGACCAAATTGAAGCCTTCGTATTCATTTGTGCTTTACAATGGGATAGTTAGGGGAAATCGCCCACTAAACAGATTAGAGCAAGCTCACAAGCTAACCTCTAAAGATACTAAAAAAATACACATTGCATAAATTTGTGGAGTGACGGTAACCTCTCTCATTTTGTTGGTCAACATGACGTGCAGAAATATACAGCTCGACAAGATCCTCGTCTTATGAGCCATCACAACAAAGAGAAACAGAACAACTAGCGTCATTGAATTGGTATTACCAAGATTAGCACTATCAGATCCTGTCCATTTAAACAGAATAAGTCTGATTGACTGGCTGACTGGTCACAACGTAGAACTTTGCACAGATGTGCAGTAGTTCGAGTTGCCACACTCCATGTAGCACACAAAGCAAGAGAAACGATTAATGAGACATGAAAATCTAATTGAAAAGTATGCAATGCTCCGTTATAGAGATGGTTATAATGTTAGCAGAAGAATGGTTTCACATATTCATGAGGACTTGAAACGAAACCTAAAAGTATTACAGCCTCGTTCCATATCAGCATATGAGCAACAAAGAAGTATTTTCGCATTATAAAAAAAGATAAAGCCACTTGTCAGTGGGTAATATAGCTCTGGAAATAACCATCACACCGCAGTCACCGAGGTTGTTTGGTTATTTAATAAGAGATATTTGAACCTCTGGATAAATAGGAAAAATATTTGTTTTTCATAGCTATCCACGTTTCACCGTTAATACTTCATCAATATCTTTAGTGAAGAAGTGAGACATGAGCGGCTATTCCATATCAGTTTGCTTATTAAATATATCACAAAGTGAAACAGTATTATTTACCGGATGATGTTTCGAACAAAATTTATTGTTCATAATCATATTAATTATAATCACACGACTTCGAAACTTGAGTTTTATAGTTTCCTTTGTTCTCTCCTATTTGTCGTCATTGGGGTAGTAGAATTTTCCAGATATCTGGGACAGATGTTGAATTATTCCTATTACACGTGTTTGCAGCTGATTCGATAAACAAAGCTTCTGTTATCAATCTCTCCCTCCACACTGCTGTTACATTAGATTTTAAAACTATCATCTTATCCCATCCTATTGTATGGTTGTGTGTAATTGCATGTAGTGCTATAGCTGAACTATTCTCTAGATTTCTTATCTTATTCAGGTCAACTAATCTAGATTTTGCTAGGTTTTTATGCTCGGCTAGTCTGACTGCACCTGTTCTACTACTTTGACCTATGTATTTGACCTGACAATCATTGCAGGCAGGGTATTAGATAAACTAAATTGTTTTGTTTTGAAGGCTCCACCCTTCAACCGATAATGCTTGCTTCTAATTGAGTTTGTGTGTTTGAATGCCAGCAGCTTTTATTCCTGCCTTGTTAAGAATTCTGCGTAAGGTTTCTGAGGTTCCTTCCTTGTATGCAATTACTACTGATGATTTAGATTCCTTATTATCGGTGTTGTCATTATCTTGGGCATGTTTGACATGCATATCGTCATTAATATTACTATTATTATCATCATCACTATCACTACTATCATTATTTATTTTATTTTTAAATTTCCCTACATACTTTCTGACTAATTTATCAGGTTAATTATTAAGTTCCAAAGCTTCTCTTATACACTTCACTTTTTGTCTTAGATTTTCCTTGGTTCTACTTAGTTTTTGTGCTCTATTGTCACTTAAACATTTCACCAATCCTACTTTCACTGACATAAGATGGGATGATCAGAAGTCCAAATATCTGTTTGAATGTGTGGGTTTCCTGTAAACACTAATGTTTAATTTCCCATCTTCCTTCCTTTTTACGCTACAATCTAACATTAGAAGCTCCTTTTCTTGACTTTCCAATTCATAAGTGAGTTGAATTGCCTCCATCTTTGAGTTAATGTGTCCGAAAAATCTATCTATATCCTGTGTTCTAAGTACAGTGAATGTATCATCTACATACCTCCACCATACTTTTGGGGTTGGGCTGAACGTTTCAGTAGCTATGTTTTCCCACCTATCCCTGAATATATCTGCCACAACCGGGGATATTGGTGATACCATGGCAACTCCCCCAGTTCGTTTGTATATTTTCCCCTGGAATTTAAATACTGTGTAAATCAGGCATAGCTGCACTCCCAGCATTATGTCCTCAAGTGGCACTTTCGTCCTAAGTTCGAGTTCTTGGTCAGAAATGAGTTCGTTTCTGACTGCCTCTATAGCCATATTTATTGGTATACGTGTATATAAACTGGCAATGTCAAAACTAACCATTTTTCTTTATTATCTAATTTTAAATGATCTGTTTTCGTTCATAAGAATTTGTCAGTCTAGATTTTGAGTGTCTTTTAAGGGGATTTAATACCATGGCTAAATATTTAGATAATTCATAAGTAGGTGAATTTCTAAAATCAACTGTAGGTCTAATAGGTTGTCCTGACTTATGAACTTTAACAACACCATGCATCCTACTGGGGTTATTAGTTCCGGGCATTAAATTAAATCACTTAGACTCACCTAGAAACGGCTTCATTCGGCGTATAAGGTCCGCTGTGGATTTCTTAACTTTATTCATAACTGTATCTATTGGTTTATTAATTTCTTCATATGGTCCCGTTTGTATGTGAGTGTTCACCTTGTCTAAATAGTCTGATTTGTTTAATACTACTGTTGCATCTCCTTTGTCTGACTTTGTGATTACTATATCCTTGTTATTCTTAAGGTGTTTTAGGGCTTTTATCTCTAGTTTTGTCAGGTTAGGCTTTCCTCGTTTTTGTCGTTCTCATGTTAGTGCACATTGTGGCTGTACTTCGTCAGTCGTTGTTTTGTCTATCGCATTTAGTGCTATTTCTGTTTCAGGTGTGAAATCCTCAGGTTTTAGCTTGTTTACCACTGCATTTAGGACAAGACAAGAATGACTTCCAACGGTTACCTGGAAGCTAGTCAAGGAGAGGAGGATGGTGAAAGAGATACTCACTGAAAGGATGGACAAGAGAAGCTCATTTAATGTGCACCTCACTGAATAAAGAAGTTAAGAGTACCATAAAAGACAAACGAGAATTCTGCAACACACTGGCAACTCAAACAGAACAGGTCACAGGTAAAATAGAGCTCAGGATATTACATCAGATAACCAGTCCTCTATCAGGGAAGAGATCAACTTAGATGACGAAACCAATAAAACATTGGTCTGATCAATTTAAAGGGCTCTTGAATTAACCATCACCTACAACTCGCCCAGAAATACACCACCAACAACAACACGAATACAACTGCCAGTGGACACCAATCCCTCAACGAAAGCAGAAATTCTGAATGCGATCAAGCTACTTAAGTTTGGAAAGGCAGCAGGTCCCCCGAAACACTGGAAACGGACCCACAGACTTCGGTAGATGTCCTCACGCCATTATTGCAAAAGGTTTGGAAAGAAGGAAATGTACCCGCTGACTGAAAGAAAGGCTAGTTACCTTGTCAAGTTTTCAAAGGAAGACTTGGACCTCTGCAAGGACTAGCGTGGGATCATTCTCTTGTCCACGTTGAGTAAAATACTAAGTCGCATCATCCTGGAAAGAGTGAAAGATGCACTTGATACAGAACTCCGCCCCACAAGAACAAGCTGGATTCAGGAAAGGCAAATTGTGTGCTAATCAAATTGCAACTCTACGCATCGTCATCACTGAACAAAGCATAGAGTGGCAGTCAAACCTCTCTCTACCTCAACTTCATCGACTTCGAAAAGGCATTCAACAGCGTTGACCGAGACGTAATTTGGAAACTACTTCAACGCTATGGCGTACCGCAAGCCTTTGCCAACCTCATTCAACAGCTATATGACGATGTCACATATGAGGTGATCCATAACGGAAAAATCAGTGAGACCTTTTTAGTGAAAACAGGAGTAAGACAAGGATGCCTGTTATCACTAATAATATTCTTAATTGTGGTAGACTGGATTATGCATCAGACTGTGTCTTGGGAATGAGAAGACAGGAATACGTGGGTCCGATAAGGTCTGGATTTCGCAAATGATTTATGTCTAATGTCACACAAACTCGAAGACTTGCAAGTCAAAACCAACAAACTAGCTGAAGAGGCTGGCAGCGAAGACAGGACTACAAGTGAACACAGAAAAAACGGAGGTAGTGAAGGTACCCGGGGACCAACGGCAACAACAACCAGCACCAATCATCACTGACGGGAGAGATTTGAGTGAGGTTAAATCCTTCACTTATCCAGGAAGCACAGTTTCAGCCACAGGCGGAACGGATGATGTCAAGGCCAGTCAGAATTGCGAAGGCAAGATATGCTTTTATCAACTTGAAACCAGTTTGGAAATCTGCGCTCAGTCAGCATAAACAACAAGATTCGGATTTTCAACACAAATGTGAAGTCGGTCAGTCCTTCAATACGCGTCAGAAATTTGGCCAGCGTGTCAAGAAAAGGGTTTCCGACAAGTCATCAACAGCTGCTTTCGCTGGTTACTTTCTTCAATATTAATATAATGTTATCATTGCATATTGCACTCCAAGTCCTACAATTTACTATGTGAACAAACGCTATTTCTTAGTTGTTATGAGGATAGTTATCTTCCCTCACTAACTACAGATATACAGGCTGTGTACTTATACATTCATAATGTCTGACTAAGGAAATTATATAGCCGTGTGCATACTGTATTTTCACCTGTGTTATGATCATAATTGTTGCCCATTAATTCTCATGCTATTACTCTAATTCCATTATCTTCATTTGTGTCATGTTTACATTGGACTTCACTGCACTGTAAAGTCCGGAAAGGGATTTAAAAAATAAATAACTGCAAACGTGGAAACACCGTTTTTACCTAGCCTGACGTAATAGTTTTCATTTACTGGTTGAGATGCTCCAACTCCGCAAAGTGTTCATTAGTTTTCAACAATTTAAACATCTCCACCATAAGGTAATGATTAAGCGGATAAGAGTATTCGCACTAGTATAAAATTACTAATGAACAAAATAAGCCTTTAAAGTTTTTGAGAATATACCGGTATTTTGAGGCAGTTGACCAAATACTTTACACTAAGTTGCTCTATAATTATTACCCTACTGTGAAGAGGTTTAGGTATAAATACACAATGTTTAATATTTACAATATCAGAACTGGTCGAAAAACAAAAAAGGCTTACAGTTTAAACATTCTGCCATTCCATGACCTTGACTTGACCTCTTGACTTAGACCTTCAATTTGAGCCAGCTCTTAGAGATAACCTTTCAACTTACCATGATTCCTGTCCGAATACACATACAGTGAAAGACACACCTACATGATAACTTCTGTTCCCACAGAAGGTTCTGATATCATTTATAGGTGATTCCCATGTATTGATAGCATTCTTTTGTCAAATAGTACTGTTCTTCACACGAAAATAGTCACATTTTGACGTGGTCTTCATTGAATGACACTGTGTCAAAAGCTGCAGCTTCTACAAGAAGTAAACTATTTGTGCAAATGACATTACTCCCCAACTACCCCATCTTCCTCATTATAGCGATGTTTTGACTCATTCCGCCTGAAACACTAATAACAGCGCGCTGTTTGAAAAAAGGAGTGCTTGTTTCACATATTTGACAAATTGCTGTTTTTGTTGTGTTATTCACTTCAAGAACATTTTTAAAACTTTAACTTTACTTTCGTCTGTTAAGTTTTGATTTTTAACACTTATATAGTCTATATTCGGTCTTGGCTGTTCCAGTAGTTTATTATGTCGAAAGTACCACATAAATGTAATAGGGCGGAGTGTTGCTTTTTGGTAGATGATGGAATACGGTGTAATGACTGTAAAAAGTGGTATCATAAGATGTGTACTGGATTACGTCCAGCTGCATACAAACGTTGTAGTGCTCCAACATCCCACTGGACCTGCAGAATGTGTTGCTCCCCAAAGATGACTTTGATAAGGGAGGATCACGAACTACTGTCTAAGACCATGGAACTTCCTGATGATAGCGTGGCTAGTAATAGTGACACAGACTGCCCGTCTGAAAATGACGCAGCAAGTGCCATCATGAATGTTACCACACCGGCGGTTACTATCCCAGTTACCCCGGAAGTAAAACCCTTCTATTCCCATTATCCTATATAAGTTTAAAAATCATTATTCGTTTTGCCCTTGATTTTAAAAAAAAATTTGTTATTCTATATTTTTGTTGTTGTTGTTTACTACCACAAACTTGAACTAACTGTTAGTATGTAACACCATAAAACTCAATGACTCTAAATTATTAGTAACAAAATAGGGGAATAAACCCTGCGTTTATCGCATATTGTTTGCTTAAATTATTATTATTTGCTGGCTGCCTCTGCACCTCTCTTTCTGTTTTCTTCTTCCTTCTCGAAGGTATTGCATTGATGCACTGCAAATGAACAGTAATGCTGCTTTCTGCGTTTTTATTACTTGAGCGTTATTCAGAATGATGTTGGCAGACACAGCGAACAACGGAAGAAATTCCATTCTGAGTACTGTTTGTCATCGCAAAGTTGGTCCCTTGTATCTGTTATTTCCAAAATAATGCTGTACTTACCCTCTACTATGGAGTTTTTTTTTGAACCCTTATTTAATTGACAAAATGATAATGATCACAAGGCCTGTATCCTGTATGTCGTACTCTAGCACATGTTAATCACCTCTCTTCTTACCTTCCATTAACGCAACATTTCGTAATTCCCACATGAATTTAACTGACTATAAGTATATCATAGACTATAAATTAGACTTGAACCAGTATATTGTAATCTATTCTAACAAAGTTTCTAGAGGTTTTTATTTTCCATTTTTCCAATTTTTGATGTCAAAAAAACGGTGTTCCATTTCAAATTGTACTTGTCGAATATGATCATGCCTGTACAAACGGTATGTTAATCATGTAAATGTTTAATTTATGTGAAATATATATTCCCTTTAACCTACTAGGCGTTCGAAGCGTCTTAGTAAGCGAAAAGGTAACAAAACGGAAGCTGCAAACAGCACCTCATCACCAGAGAACACTGTAAGCGAAGTTCACCATGAAGGTGGTGCAGACACTGATCTTGATTGTACCATCAAAAACTGCAGCAGCCCTGAGAAGCAACTGCAGGCAGATGATCGGTGGGTAACGAAAATAAGCAATCAGAAGAAACATAGTAATATTGATGGTAGGCAAACGTCTGTCACCTGTAGCCAGGCCGCATCAATAGTGTTGAGAAAAGACGTAGCCACTGCTAAACACGACAAGCTCTCCTTAGACTCTAAGATAATTGTTGGAAATTTAGAAGAGTCCAAAGAATCTGGTCCCGTGAAAAGGCAGGATCAGGACCTTAAATTAGTGAGTAGTACTATAAGGAAGATGCTCCCAGTGAATTTCCCCGGAGTATCGATTAAAAAGCTGATTAGGATAGGCAAAAGAGATGATGAATGTTCTAATCAGCGTAGGTTGCTTAAAGTAGTCTTAGGTTCCCCTGATGAACGGAATCATCTACTGGCTAATGTACACAACCTTGCCGGGTCAGGAATTTCAGTCAGACCTGACTTATCTCTTGAAGACAGAATTAAACGAAAAGAAGTTTTGTCCCAGCTAGAAACAAGACGTAAAAATGGTGAGACCAACCTTAAACTGGTGGGTTTTCAAATAGTCAGGTCTTGGAAACGTATGCTTCCAAGACCTGTGTGGATAAGCCGGACCGCATAGGAAGCCTGAAGGCAGTGTACACTAATATACGTAGTATCGGGAACAAATTTCATGAGCTAGGTGTATTAGTGGAAGACCTTAGCCCAAGTATTGTGGCCATTACTGAAACATGGCTGTTTTCTGGATTAGATGACACACCTGAGCTATGCGGATTTAGTTGCTTGCGCAGCGACAGGGTTAAGGGTCGTAGAGGTGGCGGGGCTGCTCTGTACATCAACAACTCCCTACATGTTCGTTCCGTGAAATCTGAAGCGCATGACAGTGGGACAAGTGAGGTAATTAGCTGTGAAGTAAGCTTTGCAACTGGCACTTTACTCATCGGTGTTTTGTATAGAAGTCCCTTTTGTCAGTGTGATGACTTTATTTTAGATCACCTCAAACAATGGAGTAAACACAGTAGCTGTCTTATTCTAGGTGACTTTAATGCACCTCATATAGACTGGGTAGCTGTCACATCTCCAGGATCTGCTAATAAGTTTGACAGCCGGTTACTCTCGACTACCATGGAAAATGCCCTGACACAACATGTCTTGGGTAGTACAAGATTCGGTTCCACCCAAGGATCTTCCTTGCTGGACTTAGTGCTTATTCATGACAACGACGACGTGGTTGGTCTAGTTATTCATCCACATCTAGCAAACAGTGATCATGGGGTGTTAGATTTTAACTTAAGGGCTGGCAATTTAGTCAGTTTTCAACCCAAATCCCGACCTAGTGTTTGGCATGCTGACATAATCGCTATAAAGGAGCGTGCTTCAACTGCCGACTGGTCAGTCAATATTGTCTCATCCATTGAAGATGAATGGGATAGATTTAAGAATACACTTGAGAGGGTTACCACTGATTTTATTCCCTGAAGGGTTCCTAAAAGACCAACAAATCGGCCACCATGGATAAATAGACAGGCTATAACACTCCTAAGACGGAGAAAAAGGTTCTGGAATCTCTTTGTTTCTACTGGGCTACAGCAGTTCCGACTGAAATACTGTGAAACCAGAAACCAGTGTAAAACTTTGATTCACCAGTCAAGGATAGCTTACGAAACCCAGTTAGTCAAAGGTTCACCAAATAGACTCCTCTCATATATCAAGAGAAGAACACGTAAGAGTGATGCTATCCCACCTCTTATGCTTGAAGATGACCAGACAAACATGGCTGAGGATAACTTGACTAAGGCTGGGGCCTTGTCCAAGCACTTTAGTCAAGTATTCTCTGATAATATTGATACCAGCTTTGTAACTTTTCCAGAAGGTAACTTGAAAATGGCACCCTTATAGATTGGAAAAGATACTGTCCTAAAGTGGCTTTTAAGGATCAATCCTGGTAAGTCCAGTGGCCCGATGAACTCCACCCACGTATGTTAACAGCATTGGCTGAAAACATAGCCGAGCCCTTGTCGGTAATCTTCAATATGTCTCTGGACCAATCTAATTGTCCAAGAGAATGCAAAGATGCCATCATTAGTCAGGTCTTCAAAACCGGATCTAGAAACTAAGTTCAGAACTATCGTCATGTTAGTTTGACCAGTATTGTTATTAAACTACTAGAAAGAATAATTCGTGATGCTATCATTCAGTTCATCGAAGGGAACAAACTTTTCGCTGTGGAACAGCATGGTTTTAGAGCAGGTCATTCTTGCTTGACCAACCGTCTTTTGGCCAGAGAAAGTTGGGCAAGCTCAGCTGATGCTAATATACCAGTGGATGCCATATTCATCGACCTTAGCAAGGCGTTTGACAGGGTTTCTCATTCAGTTCTTCTAGTAAAGTTAGGTAGTCTGGGAATCAATAAAGTGGTTACCGACTGGATTCAAGACTTTCTAAAGGACAGAAGATAAACAGTACGAGTTAACGGGGTTTTATCAACATGGGAATCAGTTAAGAGTGGCGTTCCTCAGGGTACAATTCTAGGCCCACTTTTCTCCGGATTTATGTTAATGAGATTCCATCGGTAGTTAAGTCATTCTGCTTACTGTTTGCTGATGACATCAAGATATGGAGGGCTTTACACGATGACAGTGATCAACTTGCTTTGCAGGGGGATTTAACGTTGTTAAGTGATTGGTGTAAGCACTCGGCCTTGGAGATTAACTTAAGCAAGAGTGTAGTTATGCATGTATCTCATAGTCACGTGCACAATTACCCGATGAATGGCATTGCTCTCCCAGTGGTCACTGAGTACAAGGACTTGGGAGTGGTTGTGCAGCATGACTTGAAAACAGCAACAAACTGTAGAGCTGCAGCCACTAAGAGTTTTCGAATATTATGGGCCATACGCAAGGCTTTTGCGAACTTTGACGCTGAAATATTTCGTGTATTATATCCGACTTATATCAGACCTCATTTGGAATATGGGATCTAGGCAGCGAGCCCGTGTTTAGAATACTAAATAGACTTATTAGAAAGGGTGCAAAGAGTAGGAACTAAGCTAATAAAGGGTTTTTCAACCCTCTCATATCAGGAGAGGTTAAGT